GCCCCCGGCATCCCGCCCATCGCCAATTGATGAGAAGAGTGGTGTGTTTTTTCCTAGGTGCCTCAACTGCCGGGAGGTTCCTATATGCAAGCGTCGATCGCCAGCGTGAAATATTTATCGGGCGCCAAATTGAAATCGGGAGAGTCAGGGGCGGAAGTTTGCCTCGGGAGGGCCCGGTGATATACTTCGATGGCCTCTGCAGGATGAGATCAGCCGGCCAATCGCGCCATTTAGAAGACGGTTTGCAGTAAATGACATCCAATATAGAGTGTTAATGAAGGCGCCCGAGTTGGTCTTTGTGCGCCAACAGAGCCGACAGGCCACACCGTCCGGCCCATTGTGAGCTCCCGCTCCCGGCCCGATCAGCTGGTTTTTACCTCCTGGCCTCTCCAGACGGCCGGAGGACTCAAACGCTAGCGATTTGTCTCCGGGACACTCATCGACGGCGACGGTCCCTCTCGAGGCGCTGCCCTGAACTCACTGCCGCGGAAGGGTGCTTCTGGAGATACTTCGATGAAGAAGAAGATGCAAAAACGCATATTTTTTTTTTAAATAGCTTAAAGCAACAGCTCCGAAGTTAATCACCTACCAGCGTTGCCTATACACTTATACAGTGCACCGACAAGGCAAGTAGCTATAGGATGCCAAGTGCCAACAGTACGCTTAGGTGTCAGTCCGTTATTCAGAGGCGAGTGTCAACTGTAATTCAATGAAAGGCGTAATCACTCGGCTAAGGTATAATGATAAATTATCTGTATTACAGCTTGGGTATTGTGCAGATTCTGTCTGAATTAGGGGAAGGAGGGTGAATTGCGCCACCTTTAGGAAAAACGCTAATTGTAAGAAAACTGCACACAGAAAAATATTGACACCGTTAGCGGTGTAATTGCACAGTACATATCTGAGCACTTGAGGAAAGTTAATTTAGTCCCTTCCCCGCTTAAATTACTCGCTTAAATTACTACTACATGTAGCAAAACACCCAACCCTCCTAACAGTGTTCTATTACCTTCTTCCTGGTGTTCATTTGGAAGCGCGAGTAATTTAAGCGGGGAAGGGACTAAATTAACTTTCCTCAAGTGCTCAGATATGTACTGTGCAATTACACCGCTAACGGTGTTAATATTTTTCTGTGTGTGCTGGAGATATAAGCATGCACTGGTAACCATTTCGAAGAGGAACTCATTGGCTACGATTTAAGAGCCTGCCGATCAATTAAGAATGTTTCGTTTGCTTCTGACAGCTGCTTTTTCAGAAACATGTAAAAGGGCGCATTTGCCAACAACTGCTGTAAATTGCGCCATGGGGATGGCGCAATTAGAACCCAATTGCGCCCTATACTTTAACATGGCTAAGCGAATGAGACGGAATGCATACACCCCGGCAGTGCAATGTCATTGCGGCTTACTTTAACATTCATAATGTTATTCACGCTGGTTAAATAATAAATGTCGGTGTAAATCGCGATGTATTTTTGCCCAGGTAGATAACTTTACATGTGTCCGTACGCTTGTAAACGTGCAACGAAAACGTTTACTGTAACCGACTAGATATATGTGAACGTATGCGCTTATACGGTTACATTTTCAATCGCTTCTCTCAAAATTAATAATTTTTATCGTTTCGATAGCTTTATGACATAAGTTTTTACTTTTTGTCATAGCTGTCACCTCTCACGCCTGAGTCCATGTTGAAAATGTCGTATTTTGTCAATTACACCACAAGTTCGTAGCCTAAATGGCAGCTGCATTAAAAGTTTGACGAGAGAAATAATTTGCGGACTGACGACAGCGGGTTGCTCCCCTGCCTGACATTAAACTCCTTCTTTATTGCAATCAGTTAATGATGCATTCATACTGTCGTGATACAATAGCTACACCATTATTCTATTTGCGCCCCCCTGGCACAATTGCCATGGGCGCAATTAAAATTGAGGTACTTTTTAATAAAAGCGAAGAAGTTATCATAAAGATGTTGAAGGAAGTTTACTGTTTCAGTGAAATATAATGAAAAAAAGGGTTTTTCTTTCTAAACGTCACTCTGAAAATCACACAAATATCACAAATTTTTATAACCAACGGTTCAAACGACTGCAAAAAAGCTAAGGAAACGCCGTAACATCTTTGATGGCGTAATGAGCCTTGCTGATTGGCTTCGTCGGAGGGCTTGGGCCATAAAAGGAACTATCCAGTGGGGAAATTAATGTTTTCGAACACAAAATTCAAAACATGCCATTGAAACCGTGGGAATGTTGGTGGGCGCAATTGGTTAGGAGGGCGCAATACACCCACTTTCCCCTACCCCCCAATGCCGGCGGCACTACCTACTGAGCATGGATATAACTGGATTGCCTTGGCAACAAACATACAAAAATATTTTCCCAAGCTTTCGGGATGCAGGCCCACAGCTGCAGTGTAGCTGTAGGTACATGCCTCGACCCTGTAACACTTCGAGACATCTGCTGGGAACTCATCAACAAACATGCATGATGCACTTCCTGTTCAGAGATGCAGCGAGTGGCGTGCCGTGCTGCTCCCGGCGCGGAGCTCTCTGGAACAACAGCCGCTGTTTGGCTTGCATTCTTCTTTATAACATGCATTTCCTGTCTTGCCATGGTCATTCTCACTGTTTAGGCTCCGAGGTCCTTGCTATGGCCTGCATACGGCTGCACCTGTCCCTCTCTTCTACAGTGGCGGATCCAGGGGGGGGGGGCAAAATGGGCATTTGCCCCCCCCAAACGGCATAATTTTAACATTACGCCTATGGACGATACATGGAAAGAATCGATAAATTATTATGGTTTGCCCCCCCCCCCAAAAAAAAACTCTGAGCTGGATCCACCTCTGCTCTTCTACATGCATCGTATGTACAAATAAGAATAGCTAATCTCCAGCACTGCCTCCCATATTTTAAAATTTCAATGCGTTGCTCTTCAGCTCAGCATCTCACCGTTTCCAGTGCTGGTCTGCTCTGCTTATCTGACAAGTTTCGGGCATTGATATGCACCATCCTCTGCAATTCTGCGGATGTGAAACGTTTATCTCTAGTCAACTAATCGATTCCTTCTAGCATTTCCATGAGAGTGTTATTTATGACTGCCTATTGTGGATAATCTGTGTAAGGTCAGCTCAGTGTCCATTCGCTGCGTGCATAGCAATGACCGCGTATGTTCAGTAGTCGGCTTATCTGTGTGTAAGTATGAAACGAGCGGGGGCATTAACGAGAACTTAGTATGAAATTCCCTACACGCACCGCCCTTTCAGATAGTGGCATCGGACTGCAAGCGGCACGATTTGTGCGTGAAGCGTCGTGCTCTCAAGTCTCATGGCCTAAAGCCTGTCTGGAAATATAAATCACCGCACTGATTTAGGGGATTTAAAGGTATTAGTTTTAACGGGAGGGAATTACTGAGACACACTGAAGGTATGGTTATATGGCCTTGGAGGGTATGCTGAGTTAGGGGACTTCTGGACAGAAGCTGGCAGAGAGACATTGAATGGCAATCCATAGGCTGAAAGGATGTGGGCTGCAACACAGTCGTTATCCTTTTAAGACAAACCGTCGGCCTAATCGTACTTAATGGAGCCGCACCGGCTAAATTTGAATAATGACATTGTAAACTATGTAGTAAACCATGTAACAAGGTCTAGTCGTGGGCCTACGTGCAAGCTTGCAAGTGAATAATGTTGACATGCTGGTAAAGCGAGCTGACTGTTTGGTATTCTGTAGTTAAACGTGCACGAATTAAGCGCAATTCACACTTCACAGTTTATTTTTGCGTACGATGTCAAGTGAAACTTATTTGAATTTCATTGCACCCGTCAAGGAACTTGGTTGGAGCTTCGGCTAATCACGTTGTCAAAGCTATAGGGGAATTAATTATATTTCCTTTTATTTTAGTCTTGGGCGTGATGTTATCTAAGTCCAACTGTGACATGCAAAACAAACTTTTCAGCATTGAAACTTATATCAAGCTGTTATTGGTATTACATTGGCTGATACCAAAAACTTGATACCCGACTGAAATATATCATACTCACCTAATAGTGAGTATATGTAGGCAAGCAATGCTAGTCACCGTGCTGATAAGCTCATCTGTATAGACCGAGGTTTCCAAGTTATTCTCTTCATGCTCCACCTGTCCTTCTAACCACTTCAGCATACATAGGTAGGTTCCATTTGATTTAGTCTCGGTCTTCAGTCTTAACAATATACCATCTCCACTTTTCTACCCCCTGTCTCCCTCTCACTACATCTCTCCTCTACTTTTCCCCTCTCTGCCTCCCTGCACCCACCGGGCCCCTGTTTGTCTCTTTCCCCGTAATTGGCCGTACTCACACCTGCGCCGATCGGAGGTGGGACAAAAGCATCCCGGGGAGCCACCACCCTCCCCCGGTCCCTCCCCTCCCGCTCATACAGACCACGGTCACAGGGAGGGGATACCGACCTGGGGGATACACGCACGCACACGCACAGAGCAGGAGTCGGCTCCCGTCGGACCCGTGATAGGTCCGGTTTTCCAGGGCAGGTGTTATGGTGGGTGGGGATGGGGATAGATACCCGGTAATTGAGATGTCAGGGTCGGCGGAACAATCGAACCCGCTTTAGCAAACGACCGTACGCACAGTATCTTCATAATCGGCCTCATTGCCTGTATATTGGTTTGAATCGTCATTATCTAAGAAAAAGAAAACAACATTTTGTACTCAACCACAGTCTGCGAGAGTAAAGTGCGACAGTTTATTTGAAACTACATACCTATTTCAAAATAGTCAGCGAAACTCACAGTGTCATTCAATGATCACGATCCAGTGCTTTACAGCCGGACATCAGACCAAAGACCACGATGGTCTGGCCGGATTACGATGGTCTGGCCGGAGGACGATGGTCCCCTCGCGGCGCCGACCGCCCGACCAGCGCCCGGCCGCGCGGCGGACGGTCCGGTACCGCTGGCGGCGGACGGCGGGCCGCGGAGCCAGTCGGTCGCTGACGCCGGGTGAGTGAGGTGGTGCCACTCGGAGCTCCGCGCGCGGCGGCTGGTGCTCGAGTGGTGCCTGGCGGTGCAGTGGTTGGAAGGTGCTCAGGCCGGTCACAGCTCCCTGGGGCGCCCCTGGCAGATCGACCGGAAGGGGTGGTAATGACCCGGACGGAGCAGGGGAGGCAGAAATGGCCCCCTGTGTGGGGACAGCGGGACGGAACTGCCACAGCTGAGTGGTCGATTGAGTGCCTCGTAAATGCCACGTGCCAAAATAAGGGCATATTTCGTAATTAACCGAAGAGCTGTTGTTACTTGCTGTAGTCATTTATGGGCCTTGTGGTAAGGTTGATAGGTAAATGGATTCTTATGGTTTACGAGGGCATTCAATTTTATAGGGAGGGGTTTGTTGCAGCGTTCACGGGTTCAGCGAATGAGATCACTTACAATGCACGCTGATTCAATTCAGGATTGATGTCAATCACTCGTAAGCCACTGTCTGCTGACAGGGTGGGTTCCGGCAGAGAAAGCGAAGAACTGTGCAAGTGCATACGCAATTCACAGAGAGGCGCATTGGATCACTTTATGTAGTAATGCGTATTCTTTGTGGGCAAGGGGCCATCCGGAGCCATTTCCGCATCCTCTGGTGATCAGCCTTTCCGCCGTTCTTGGACGCTTCATGAAAGGGCCGTTCCAGCACCTCACCTTTCCAGCTACGAATATTCCACCCACAGTTTGACCCCCGTCACCACCCGTTCACTTCATTCACTGCTGCCGTCACCGCCGTTGGTTCTCCCCAGCTCTGGCATCAGAAACTGGCCTCTATGACGTGATTGTGATGCTACGCGGCCTGCACGTCAGCCGGTGTGACGTGGCCACACGGGCCGCTGAGGTCCTGGGCGGGGACCGTCAGTCACAGTTGACACGTGGTGGATTAGTCGGCAGGCCATCTCATATCAGTTGGGCCGGCTTGTTGGTCTATGACCATTTACTTATTACATAGTGTGAAAAGCATGTGTCCTCTTCTGGGCTCCGTTCTCAGATTTCCTTTCAGTCTTTTTGATCACTCATCTGACCACCGAAGCCGTCAGCTAATCGAAGCAGTCCTGCAGCTGTCCCCATTTCGTCTGCGCCGTCCCCGGGTCGGCCGCACTTCCGGCCGCCGACCGCACCTGGTCGGTCGTCAGGGGCGCCGTCCCACGGTCTGGGGTCGTGGAATGTGCGCCGGCGACCCGACCACCTGATCCAGATCAATGGCGCCGCCGCTCACCGCCGGCTGGCTGCAGCTCTGGAACTAATGACGAAACCTGGTCACAGACCGTCACAAACTTCCGATCTGGGCGCAAAAAAGCGATAAAATTAAAAATCCAGATGTATCTGAAAAGGTCTTGAAGACATCACTTGATATTTGTTAATTATATATTTGACTGTTCGCAATGCCGCATCAACTTCAAACTTTTATCCTGGTTCGTTTAATATTTTTCCCATAACCGTCGCGCGGCAGTGTGGGAATTGATGCGGGTGCCGGCCTCCGGCGGGCGTTTCCCGGCCCGCTGTAGTTAGGTCGACTTCTGTTTGGATTATCCATCGATCATCGGCCGTTGTCGGCAATATGCCACCGGACGCCACACACATGATCTATTCTGTCCCACGCCCATCATAAGCCGCAAACAAGATCCGTCTCGGGTAGACCACAAATTCAGATAATTTAATTTGTGGGAAATTTTATAATTTGTTTGTTATTTTGACGCAGTTGGTGTGCATTTATCTAACCTTCGCCTCACGCTCACGACCAACTTTTTCCAAACAGGTAGATGATATTTCATTTCATTTTAAAATACTGTTTTTCCTTTAGTATCATCCATCAGGTGCATTTTTAATAGCAGTTCCGTGTCAAATCAGCCAGACATAGTTATTCGGCCCCTCTAATGTTTATTGTGTTGAAGGAATAGGCGATTTTATTACTTATTTTAAATCAATGACCGTAAAAAACGACGAAGGCTAAAAAGACGACGAAGGCTTGAAAATGCTATTCAGCGATAATTTACTAGCTGACAGGACTGCAAGTGAACGGGCTTTGAACACAAAGAGCTCATAATCGTCTTTTGTCACATTATGTACTCACATTAATAATGTATTGAGGGTTCGCCCGGGCTCCACCTGGCTCTCTCGCGCCCACCGTACACCGACGCCGCCTCTGAAAGGTCCTTTGTCGGAGCACGCCGTGTTAGGGCCGTCAAATCTGCGCTATTGTGATACCCGGGCTCGTCCTGCGGCTATGGAAGCTCATGGTGACGGAGAGCTGGGGTGTGAGCTGTGTAGTTGCTGCTGCCGTTTCTGAGCTGATGTAGCCGTCTGTGGCTGCCTCAAAAGTGGGAGGTCGGTATGAGTCGTTCTTTGCCGCAGTTCGGTCCAGAAGAGGAGAAACCCGGCCTGCCTGGAACCGCCCGTCCCGTGTCAGGCCGCAGTTAGCATCTCTCTATTTCCTGCCGTCCGCCCGCCACAACAACGGACCGCGGGCGCGTCGGCTCCCCTCGCTGCCTCTCATTTACGGCGCCATTGGGCCGCGACCTTCAGTGCGCCGCGGCCATTAGTCGTTTGAGCGGACCGCCAGCCGGGCTTTTTGCCCGAGGCCGCAGCAGATAGAGCCGTCAGCGCGTGGCGCCCGTCCCGCCCCCATCCGGTGTCACGTCCGCCCTCCTTTCTGCGTCCGATGACGCGCTCGTCACTCTCGTCCGCCGCACCATTCCAGTCCACTGCTGCAGTTTACAGGACGTCACGCCACTATGGGTGTGCCTCTCTACGCACGCATGTGCGCCCATCTTTCCTCACGGTCTTCTAAGTCGCTTCAGCCGTGAAATGGCCCATCAGCGGCTGTCGCGAGGGACGGAGGGGCGGAGCTGAGAGGTGTTGGGCCCAGCTCTGCACGCCTTGTCGGTACTCCAGTGTCGGTACTACGGTGCAGAATTACAAACGACCGATATCGGCCGGCAGCGGTGGAAGTGTGGTGACATGCCCCGCAGACAGTTGACAGACAGTCTGGGTGGAGTGCCCGACAAATGGGACGCCCTTCTGTCCGCTGAGAGGGACTGTCAATTCAACCATCACACCACCGGGTGTGAACAGGCCTCAACTGAGACGTCTTACTGCCGGGATGGGTGGGGCGTCAATTGAGGCGTTTTACCACCCGCGGGAGGTGTGAACAGGGCTGCAGCGCGGCCGGCGGCGTCGCGCCAGATGGCCACTCAATAGACACGTTCCACCCCATGCTGATCGACTGATTGGACCGTGATGAGGCGGCGCCCGAGGCGGCAGGACTCGGCCGTGAACGGCCACTTCCGCATTGTTGTTTTCATCTCCCGGCGCGGACCTGGCGACGTTGACGACGGCGGTGGCGGTGGTGGCAGTGGCGGTTGTTGCAGTGAAAATTTAGCGACAACGGAGAGGTGCGAGCGGCGTGGTGGGGGATGATAGTTAGTTGTGGCGGGCAGAGTAACTCACTAGCGAATGGCTCCCGTGGCGGTAGGATGGACCTGGGGCGGGCTGATATATGTCAAGGGGGAACTGGGGTGGAGCTGGGCCGTCAGAAGTCCCCAGGGATCAGGGGGAGGGAGGCCCGGAATCATTGCCATCCAGATGCCGCGGGTGTGAGGTCGGTGCCCGACTTTGTTCCACTCAGCGCCCTGACCTCCGACCTCTGACATCCGACAGGAGAGTGATCAAGAGCTGCTCGCGTCCAGCTGAGTGGTCAGATGTGCTCGAAAGCTGCGCGTGATCTCTGGAAGTGCTAACCTCAGACTAAGACGCATTCAGGACGGGCGGCGGTCAGAGTTAATCTGCGAAGTGATTCACTGTTCCCCGGCGGCCTGTTGACGGGTTCCGGCGCCAATCTGCCGTGTCAGTGGAGCTGAGAGTCGGCGGTGAAGTACCTCTCGGAAGACTGAAGGAGTTCTGAACAGAGGCGGTCGCGCCCGCGCCCGCGCCCGCCCAGGGAAGGCGGCTGTGAAGGGGGCAGCCGCGCTGGCCGCCATGGCGCGGGCCCGGCCGGCGCTGGTGCTGGTCAGGACTGCTGCGGTGCTGGTGCTGGTGACGGTGCTGCTGGCGCCGGTGAGGGCGTTCCAGCCGGAGGAGCAGCTCCAGTACGGCCACTACAGCCATCGACTGCGGCATCACAGAGGTGAGTCCGGGGCCGTCATCTTACAGTGTCCTCAATGCCCTAGTCCCATTGCAGTACCCTCAGCCCTATCAGCTGCCTCAGCTCCATCAAGTCCCTCAGCTCCGTCAGCACCCTCAGCTCCCTCAACCCCATCAGCTCTCTCAACTCCGCAGCGCAGCCCCCTCAGTTCTCCTAGTTCCAACAGCTCCATCAGTGCCCTCGGTCCCTCCTAGCCCACTTGAGAGGCTGTCGGAGCGTCTGTGTGCTGTTCTCCACGTTTGAAACTTGCTGTGAAGTGCTTTCATGTCTGTTCCGAGACTATGAAGACACTCCCTTCGTTTTAATCACTGGCCTTAGCGTCCGAGCGAGCTGCGACCAGGAATTAAAACCACAGATATTTGAGAGGCTGTTCAACCCTGCGGTCGACAGTTCCCCGAAACCCAACAAAACAACCGGACTCAGACCTCAAACGCTGTGTTTCCGCTAGGCATGATGACGCTCTCGGTGATTTATAGGCTTATTTTCAGTTTACCAGAACATGACCATTGCATTATTGCCTAGCTGGAATATCAACAAAATGCAAACAGTTTACCGCAAAACTTTTTTTGCGTCGTTTTAAGCATAGCATGCTCCCAACTTGATTTATTGTTTTTCAGTTCACTTGATAATAAATAATCTCAGGTGGTTTCAGATATTAGCTGACATTCCTACGGATAAATAGGAACTAATCTTTTGTTGAGGCCGTCGTTGCATGTCTGTTTGATAGTATTGAAACCTCCAATAGCATTATATTCGTTAACCGTGGATCGGTGGATTGCTGAAAGCGCGAGATGTAGCCATCATCGAGAAAGGCTGAAATGTAATACTGAGCATACGCTATCTGACGCCATATGGCATAAGGGATAAGCAGTCCTTTTGTCTGACGGGGAATGGCCACCTGACGGATGGCCCGCTCCCCTCTCGGAGGCTCCCATATCACCCCGGCCAGGCCGGTGCAGGCGACTCGCGATCTGCCACTCTCTGATTAGCTCCATTGATTCTGTGTTTTCCGCTGCCACTGAGCTAATCATAGCGGCGGATTATGCACGGCGGCTGCCCGGCCAGCCGTCGCTGCAGCACCGTCCCTCGGGACCGGGGAGGCGCGCGGCCGAGCGGCACATCAGCTCGCCGTCAGAGACCGCCGATGACGACAAATACGACGCCGCCGAGAGTGGCGAGCCGTCACATCCCCGGCCGGAAGGGCGGCCTTCCGCCGTCCGAGCGCCAGGAACGCGTGTGCCACGGCCGAACACTGACCGTTTTTGCACAGTCAGCGAAATGGACGGCCTTTTTAGTCGGCGTGACCCGACCCTGAACCCGTCGCGGCCGTCGGACTTCGACAATCGCGGCGCGGGGCGCCACAATCGTCGGTGACACGTCACGGTCACGGCAGCAGGTCGCCGGGAGATGTGACCGCGGGTGGCCGAGCTAGCGCCCACTGAGGTACGCACAGTCCGGCGCGGTGATGTGGTTTCAGAATCCTGGCGGCCCTCCCGGAGATGACCGGCGCTGGCGCCGAGCTCAGACGATGTTCAGACCTCAGAGCCCACAGGGTGCTGAATGTCACCTCTGATGGCGGCTTTGTGCGCCGGCTGGGGTCGGGTCAGAGGTTGCCGGGTCAGGTCGTCAGTATGCACGGTGGGAGGTCGACAGGGGAGTGACGTCACAGCCGGTGACACGACGTCTCCTTGCCACAAACCGTCGCCCTATTCACGGAGATGAATGGAAATCGAGGAAGCCTCGAAGGTGAAGTCGTGACGCTTTTTACCAGTGAGAATGACGTGCAAAATTGTGAATAACTAATGTGACAAAGGCATTGCATGTTCAGGGCTACGTGCTCATTAGAACCGTTACCCAATCTTTTGGTCTGATGTATGCTCGTTGTCAATTCGACGCATAATTATTGCTGCAATCATCACGACACATTTCTGCGACTGCGAGCATAAAGAAAAAAAATCGTGCATTGTCGTTCCATCACCCACGTCTCTATCGATATTCTGCGCGACTCACGCAGCTTATAATATCAACGTTACCGCTGCAGGCTCAGCTTATGATGATGGGCGAGCTGTCACCTATGCGATCGTACAATGAGTTGATAAGAGCTGTGTGTCGCGCTGCTGCTGCCTCAGCGCTCCGACAACCCCGCCCTGAGATTGGTCGTTGATCAGAGGTGTCACTTCGGCGCACATTATCGTTCATCTTTACATGCAGTCACGAAGCACCGACTAACAAATCGGTCGCGATTACATGGTAGGGCGAGCATCACGCAAACTGTCGGGTCAGCGCTAACAGGAGAAGGTTGAAGGTCGCGCGAGTTTGGGCTGAATGAAGATCGTGACACGCTCCTTGCCGGTGTGGCTGCTCGGTGTGCCGTAACCAGTGTTGCGTGTGAGCGGTAGTGAAATGAAGCGTGCGGCACACCCGCCGATCTTAATCTGTAGCGAAGGGAAACAAGTTTATGAGCATGTGCGTTTGCCCAGATGTAAACAGTTCTTAGGGATAGCGCGTCCCTCAATTTTTAGCCCCCTCTGCATATCTGATTCGTTACGCTGTCTGCCAGTCCTTATGTTGTTCCCGCTCGCTATGTGCCTTTCTGATAGTCCGTTAATTTGCCAGCCTCATATAGTCCTTCCAACTATATCGATCTGGCAGTTTGTCCCCTCTGCCAGCCGGCACGGTCTGTTCCCCGTCTCACTGCCACGCGCCTGCTGCCTGTCCTGCCCCGGTGCCCCGCTGGGTGGTAGATTGGTGTCGATTTTATCTGTCGGGGGAGGCGACTGCGCGTGGCTGATCTATGGGCCGGCTCAGGCAGTGTCCCCGGAGTACCAATATCCCCATCCCTCAGTCCCCAGCACCCCGAGCACTGCCCTGGCGCCTTCCCATCGGTGGCTCAACGCTTCCCCGCCCCCGCCGCGCCACCCGCGCCCAGGACGGCCTGCACCAACAATTAGATTACAGCACGCTCTTTGATACGTACGCACATGAAAGCGCGTGTGATCTCGTTTGGCCCGCCGCGTCGGTGGGTGTTGGATCCAGCCGGTAGCGTTTTTCTGGCATATTCTATCGAATCAGGTAATTGAGTTGGGGCCTCACGCTCCGCGGAACTGCCGGAGGGGACTGGAATCCACTGAGACGCTAATTGGCTCTCCAAGAATCCTGTTGATCCCGTGCCCTTTCTCTTGTGAAGGATGAGTTAATATTTTCACAAGAAAATGTTGTTTTTCCCTTGTTATTTCTTTGCATCCCATTCTTATACAGATGTTAGCAAATGACAGAGACGTTTAACACTGACAACGGACATTAAGCTTCATATTTGCAAAATACGACTAGCACGAAGTGACTGAGTCGCGAAACATTACACAGTTGTGCATCGTTGTAGATTGCGACAGGAGGTTGCACCACACCGACCTGAGGGTCAGGGTCTGCACTCCCAGAATCGTCGCTCTCATTGACAGACCAGGGTGCGCCTGACCTACTGAAGTTCTGGGACGGGGGACTTGGCGCCGGTAGCAGTGACGTTGGTTCCTCAGCCCCGGGGTGGCCGCACCCCGTGGGTATTTACAGCCGTAGTGTTGCTTCTAGATGTTTACCGTAACGATTGATTATGTCTTCGTCCGTCAATGGAAAGGAGTTCGACGAACCGCCCTGTTTATTCGTCAATCCTCATCGTGGCCGCCGGAAACATTATTCTTTACACATCCACGAGTTCTTCTCTGTCTCTCGCTAAAAATGCACTGGCCTGACGTGCGCATGTGATCACTTCCGAGACCTGCCGTAATACTGCATACGCCTGTACTCTCCTCCAGCCCTCTCCATCCTGTCGGCCCTCCGCTGACCGCGCGGCCCTCCACCTGCACCTGGTCCCGGAGCGCCGCTCCCCGTCCGACCGTCCGTCTGGACGGCTCGTGACCGGCGGCGCGGCGTCCGGCCGGCCGGCCGCGGCCTGTTGTCGCATCATTACGGCGCCATTACCGAGACCGTGCGCCGCTCGGCGCCGCGGCGCGCCTCTGTAATCAGCCGCGGCATGTCTCACTCCGCCGGTACACCAAGGCCGCCGGCCCGCCCTCCGCCGGCCGCGATGGCCGCAGCGGTGCGGCTGGCCGAGCGGCAGCTGGCCGCCGTGCCCATAGTTGGCCTGCGCTACGCTACGTTACGCACTACGTTACGCTACGTTTGCTTTTTTGGCCAAAACTACGATACCGAATTACGATACGTTATATATTGCTACGTTACTGAATTACGGTATTTGTTAATTAACGCAGCAAATTATTTTATCGTACTACGTTATGCAATATGTCATCATCCGCTACCCAGTGGAAACGGTTAGTCTCTAGTAAGCCAAATACAGCGCACAATGATCGCCGGCTTTGCAGCATCGTCGGTGCGGCGGTGCCTACGCGCTACTCGCTAGATGCGCTGGACTTCTGACAGGGAATTCCCTGGGACTCCCCAGTGGGAAATCCCCGGTGTCGGTCCGGCCCGAAGAAAGACTCAGTGGTATTCATATAGCAGGCGTCTCACATCCGTGTAAACGGCCGGAGGTCTGGTAACGATATGAGTAAACTGAAAAAAAATATGTAACTTGTACAAATACAGCTGACCTGTAATTGCTACGGAATTAGAGTTGCAAAGTTTTCCCCAAAGGCTGCTACCGGCACCGCCCCGCCCCACAAAAATTTTCTGGGATACCGGCATGCTACCACGCCCCAAGCAAAAAAACCGCCAAATTACCGGCATACTAAAAACCCTGCATTCTTGATTCTAGCTGACCCCTGCAAGAGATGCCACATTTTGGCAGTTTCAGTGCCCCTCCCACCCAACAGCCATCCATTGTCCAACCACAAATACCAGCAGGCTGATTTTGGCTGAGTTGGCCCCACAAATACCCACAATTTTGAAACTCCATTCCAGTCTATACCTGTTAAAATATCACCTGTAATCAAAGAAGTATTGCCTACAAAAAGACTATTACATTCATCAAA